ATAACAATAAATTAAAACTGCATCAAGTAAAACCTGCTTCCAAGTGCAGAGACAAATGTTTTATGAAATTTAGTCAGGAGAGAAGACTAATAATTAACGAAAAATATTGGCGAAAAAATTTTGAACAACAAAAACAATTTTTACTGGATTATTCAGAGACTCTATCAGTATTGAAAAGATGTGCAAATACGGTGGAAACGGATTTAAAAAAAAATATTCAGCGAAATTTTTATTTAAAAGACGATTTGGGTGAAAAACAAAAAGTCTGCAAGAATTTTTTTCTAGGCACTTTAGGATATGCGTGCAATAATGATAGAATTCTTAGAAATTTATCAAGCCCTCCAAAAGATAATCGAGGAACTTGGAAAAGAAAAAATCCAATTGATAAGAATATTATTGTGCAGCATATAAAGTCATTTTCTCCTAGTGTATCTCATTATCGAAGAGAACACGCACCTAATAAGTTATACCTACCCAGTGACATAACTATAACTAATATGTATAAAGACTTTTTAGAAAAAAATCCAGATTTACAAATTTCGTACGAATATTATAGATCTGTAGTAACTAACGATATGAAAATATCATTTACCAAATTAGGTCATGAGCAATGCGAAAAATGTGAGGCTTTTGATCTCCATGACAAGACCCATACCAAGGATAACATAATCAATACATGTGATGGATGTATTTCTTGGAAAGAGCATAATAAGTTTGTACGAGAATCTCGAGATAAGTACAAAAAAGATTGTACGAAGCAGCTAACTGATGAAACTACAGTCTACTGCTCTGTTGATTTACAGAAAGTTATCATGCTGCCCCGGTTAGACATGTTTAAACAGGTTATTTTTACTCCAAGACTCATTGTTTTTAATCAGTCCTTTGTACCACTTGGGAAGTTAACAAGCAAAAATAAACCACTTGCTGTACTTTGGCACGAAGCAACTTCTGGTAGAAAAAAGGAGGACATAGTTAGTACCTATGATACATTTCTTGAAAGCTCACGTGACTGCAAAAACGTTGTTCTCTGGGCTGACAATTGTTCCATCCAAAATAAAAACTGGTGCCTATTAAGCTACTTACAGCCGTATGCATAGTCGATCGCCAGCGACTCGCCAGCGACTCGCCAGATTCGCTGGCGATCCGCCGGCGAAAGCCCAAAAAGCTGGCGGCTCGCCCGAGATTGTCACCGGAATGTCATTTCACGAAAGTTTTCATGTTCTTTTATAGGGAATATCACCGGTATCTCTCGCATTTTATTCATGATTCATTTCTTAAAACTCAAAAAATAATGAACGAATATCAAATTTTTCCCTATAAAAGAACATGAAAACTTTCGTGAAATGACATTCCGGTGACAATCTCCGGCGAGCCGCCAGCTTTTTGGGCTTTCGCCGGCGGATCGCCAGCGAATCCTGGCGAGTCGCTGGCGAGTCGCTGGCGATCGACTATGCATACGGCTGTTAGTGTACGCAATCAATTCTGAAAAAATTGCAGCTGACACCATTACAATAAAATATTTTGAGCCTGGTCACTCGTTTATGTCAGCGGATTCTTTTCATCACCTCGTGGAGCTAAAAATGAAGAAAACCCCAAAAATATACGACTTCCAAGATTTTGTCGAAGTTGTAGGCAACTGTTCAAATAGTCACACCATTGTGAAAGAAATGAGTTTTAGAAACTTCAAAAAATGGCCTATCTTAACCTCTGATTACCAAATTAAAAAACTAAATCCAGTAAAACCTCTGCTCAAAAACATGGTAGAAATAACGGCGAAAAGGGGAGAGACACATTTATATTATAAGGAAAAATTTAATTGTGACAGCAAAATTCTTTTCTTTATACCAAAAACCAAATTATCCATGCTGGCTGAAGCTCAAGAAAACTCTGAAGATCGAGGTATTACCGATAAGAGAAAACAAACAATATTAACAAATCTTGGTGACATCATTCCTTTGCAAAAAAAAAGTTTTGGAAGGACTTGGCAGTAAACAATAATTCGCGTAATCTCGTAGAGCATATTGAGGATGAAGATTAAACATTTCAGTTTGAAATTTTTGGACATTTTTTTATTATTTAGTTTTATTTCTGTTTATGTATTGAAATATAAGAGAATTCTTATTTTAAAACTCTTTACAATATTTTTATGTGTTTACATTTATTATTTGAACTTCAATAAAACTTTTTTTTACTACTTTTAATAGTTATTATTTGTTTAACTAGGCAGATAAGTAACATATTTACTGCTGCGGCGAAGCCGAGGGTATGAAACTAGCCATGTCAGTAAATATGTTTCTCTGCTTTGTAAAACATACAATTTTTTCTCCGATTGTTTATACAGTCTGTTTAAAAAAATGGATATAAAATGAAAACCTGTTTTAAGTAGGTATAAGGGTTATAACTCACACATTTTTAATATTTATTCTAATCGTATTTTATGATTTTTTATTAATATATTCTCCGATTGACATTAAATGTCTATTTCAGTAACATTTCTTGATCATAGAAGTAGCTCTTTTACTGCATAAGCAATAAAAATGATTTTAATGCTTGGGCATTAAAATGTTACTTCGATGATTGAGAAATGTCACTAAAAGTGACATTTAATGACAATCCCAGAAAAAAATATTTCAATTGTCCTTATTTTTGTTCTTTATAAGGTTTGAGGAGTGTTTTACGATCCCAATACAAACCATTGAAATCTTCCTAATTTATTCCAAATCTCAAAATTCTACTGAATTTTTAAATTTTTTGAACTATGTTTGTTACTGTTAGTCTAAACTCTGCACTTTTCATGCCTATCAAATAGGTGAAATTTTCACATGCGACTTTTTTCGCTAGTATTGTTTAAATTACTTAAGGCAAATTGCCGTATGTGACTGACATGCGGCTTTTTTACTAGTGCTATTTAAATTCCATTAGACAAAATGCCGTATATCACAGTTTTCTTACTTAAATAATTTAAAATCTATTATATTTTTATAATTTGTCAAAAACCTTTGTTATTAGACCAAAATATAAATTGCCCTTTAATTATTAGTTAAGGAATCATAAATATATCTCTACTTATCTAATAACTATAAGCAAAATAAAAACACTCGAAATATGGGACAAATTTAAACGCTTTTTATTCAAAACAAAAACTTTTATACATGCGGCTTTTTTCTGAAGTAGGGCAGTATATAAGTATGAATTTTACCGTTTATTTATAGAACACCCTGTATTTTGCAAAATAGTAAAAATCAGTAAATTGTTATTTTAATTTAACGATTTTTACATTAATAATTTGACTTCAATTCATAGATTCATCCGATTTTCGAATTTAGGACAGAAATATTATAGCATGCTATGGTCGATTGACAGATCAGTTTTAAAGTGTGTTACGCTATAATATATCTACAAAATATAAAATAATATTTAAAAAATGAGTGATTTAAGCGAATTTGAAGATATAATTACTACACCACCGGATATTTTGGAACAGGTTAATGCAACAGTCAATCTCTATTACCCCAAAAATGTAAAGAAAAATACGAAAAACAGTATTTACATTTCAAGCAATGCGCCGAAGAAAATTATTTAAAAATGACTTGTTATTTGAGGGAGGCGGAAAAATAATATGTATTACTTGGGAGTAAAGTGCCTTTTCCTCTCTTGAATGTAAACTTCATCCTGCGGGAGGAAAAGTGGCACTTTCCTCCCTAGTAATACAAATAGCTATTTATTACAAAACATAATACAATTTTATTCAAATTGTAGGCTCATTTTAAATCCTTATAGGAGATGATTGTAAAGTACACAAATCTACTTTTTGTAAAATACTACGACTAACTAATGCAACAGCTAGCCTAGCACCTGAATTTATAAAAATGCCAGAAACCTTTGAAAAGATACGGGAACTAAAGAGCGATTTCTACAAGATGAGAGGATTTTCTAATGTAACAGGTTTTATAGATGGTAGTCACATATCTATTGTCACCAGAAGAAGATAATGCTGAATTATTTCGCGATAGAAAAGGATTTTTTTCAGTTAATGTGCAATGTATATGTGATGCAAATCTACTTTTACGTGATATGGTAGCAAGTTGGCCCGGATCAACTCACGATAGTACAATGTTTTGCTTCGTTGATTGTTGCTTGATTAGAAAATGGACAATTTGCAGATTCATATTTTCTTTGGGATAGTGCATACGCGTCCATACATATTTACTTACACCTGTCTTAAATCCTGTTTTACCAGAAGAACAAAGATACAATACTGCACATATTGGTACGCGCAATACTGTGAAGAGATGTTTTGGCATCTGGAAATGAAGTTTTCCTTGTCTTTTTTTAGGATTGCGTATTGATTTAGAATTATTGACATTACCTATAATAATAGCGAAGGCAGTTCTTCAAAATCTAGCGATAACAAGAAATGAAGTCGAAGATTTTGATGGCGAAGTTGTTATTATAAATGTCAATGTAGTAGGAGTTAAATTCTGTTAAAGCAGCGGTAATAAATTTATTTAAGTAAACCAGATAATTAAAATAAAATATTGGATGCTTAAAATGTATTTAAAAATTAAATTTATAAACAAAAATTATTTTTTGTAGAAAGCATTTTCTTTCTTTTTCATGTCTTCTCTCATTTCAACTTCCATTTCTAGAAGCTGTCTGGCATGTAATAGTTCTTCAGTTTTTTGCTGAAGTTCCACATTTTTATATGCATTTCTTTTAATTTTAATTCAACTTCTTTAATTAGTTATTCCATAGTTGATTTTCTTTTGCCGATTTTTCGATATCAAGAATTTCTTCTTTTTTATAAATCTATGTTTAATTTATCTTCAAATTTTTTTCTTTTAACTATTCTTGTTGATAAATGCTTAAGACTTTGTTTTAATATTTTCTTCTATTTTAATCTATTGATTATATTTGCTGTATGGTCTTTTGGACTGATTGGTATGGGATAATACTGTATTTGCCAACTGAGGAATTTGGATTGTGGGACTTTGCATATCTTAAGACTGAACTATTTCGATCCCATGACTTGCTCCACCTGTTATTTCTACTAATTCCATAATCTGTGGAATATTTTCCTTATTACTAGAAGTAAAGGCTACAAAAAAAATTGGTTTAAAAATTAATATTTATTATCTCATAACCTTACCTTGAAAATACTCAGCTGATGAGTCAAAATTATTATACAAAAGTTGGTATTGTGGTTTTAAAACTGTACAGACTTTCTTATTTAGCTCATCACTCTGTGGAATAAAAGTTTCACCGCCAGTTTTATGTAAATTTTTCTATTAAAAAATAAATATGTGCAAATATTAATATAATAAAAAAAAACAACTTCTAACCTTGTCGTCGTGAAGATTTTTTCTTGCTGTTTCCTTTATTGTGTAATACAGATTATGTAGGTGTTTAGCATTACGAGGGCCCGTCTGACAATTACTGTTATAGTTGTTAGTTATTTCCAGACACGCCCCATTTTCTCTTTTACACGTTTACCATCGGTTTTATTATTTTTAATCACATCTCTGTACTCAATAACAGATTTTTGTCGACATCCGTAAAGTTTCTGGAACGGTTAGAAATTTCTCCTTCCATTTTCCAATTATATTTTTTATGAAGAAACAGCCCTTTTTTAAATTTATTTGCTGATATACGATTTACGAATTAAAATAAAAACATGACGTTAAATTGTAAAAGTCTATCTAGTAAGCATATGTTAAACCTAGCTAAACGACTAATAACTATCGACCTTAGAATATATATAGTCAGGAAGGAGGAATCCGAAACGACCTTGGAATCGCGATGGTTTCTAATTTTGACAGTGAACTAGACGAATATGGCGATAAGTGTTTCCGGTCTTCCAGTGACGTACTGTCATAAAGGGGCGTAGAAAAGAAAATAATAAATTCTCATTTGCATATTATCTAAATTTACCGACTTCTATCATTTTAACGAATTGCTATTTTCTTGAGAGAAGTTTGCATTTTTTTTTATTAACCTTTATTATGTGAATAAATTTTACTTTAAAATTACATGTTGGGTGGGATAAATATAGGAAAATATTTTTGGGATAATTTGTAGAAGGTTTCATTTGAAAAATCAAAGCAATAATGTATTAAAAAAAAAATATTGACTTTTCTACATTTTATAAATTATTAAGGTTTGAAAAATAAATATGTTTTGTAGATATGCGTTAAAAAATATAAAATATCCTGGGTGTTAGTAAATAAGTGCGACAAACTTTAGGGGGTGATTCAGCATGAAAAAATAATGATAGTTTGATATATAAACGTATGTCTGAAATTGCTTCGTTTTCTTAAAAACTGACGATTTGTTTATTGCTCTGAAACCGGGCAAGATATGCCCCATACGAAAAGATTTTTTGTCACAGATTGAACGAGAAACTCAAAAGTGATTTTTAATTTGAAATATCTCAGTGGCGTACCATTTTTTTCTTTAAAATAATTGAGATCATTACCCGTATGTGCGCCAATGATGAACATAAAGTTCTTAAATGCATGTCAAAAAATGCGCAATAACTACCTCTTAAAGCCCACCAAATTTCAATTGCATATCTCGACGGGTTTCAGTGCAATAAGTAAATCATCAGTTTTTAAGAAAAACGAAGCATTTTCAGACATACGTTTATATAGCAAATTGTCATTATTTTTTCATGCAGAACCACCCCCTGAAGTTTGTCGCACTTATTTACTAACACCCCATATTTAGGTCAAACACAGGTGTGATATTTCTTTCTTAGATGTTTTTGTTGGAGTACATATAAAACTTCCTAATATCGAAGAGAATTTCTGATCATTTTATTACATATTATTAGTAATATTTTCTGCAGGGCAATTTTGCATAAGCAGGTAAAACATCTTTCCAAGAAAGGATGTTATAACGTAATAATGATTCTATGAGTGCAAAATAGATTAATTTTAAATGTACATTCAACACATTATTTGTATGCTTAGTCCAGTTATGATGAGAGTCAATTTGTACTCTAAGGTATTTGATATCATTTGTAATACTTATATGAAACTACTGAACGTTACCTTTTATTTTTAACTGTATAATGGAACAACATAAGTTTTATCAAATGTTTGTATGTTTCTATAATTAAACCATTCGAACAGTTTTATAAGATATGTTTCTATTAATAATTTTAATCAATTTCAGTTCTTTGCATTTTACAGAATAACTGTGTCGTCTGAGAAATTTATATTTCCATCTGTATTTAAACGACAAAAATATTTTAAATAAAATTAAACAAGATAGGACCTAAGATATGCTACTTTTTTCCTTACTTAAGATATTATTTGGAGTGAGGGTAGCCATATGTGAGTAGTAGGGATTAAGTGTAAAGGTTAAAGAAAAAGTCCTTTATTTCTCACAAAGTCAATTTATTGGCGACCGGTTTCGAAGTTGTCACTTCATCATCAGGCACACCTAAATGGAATATCAAGGAGTCAGTTGTAATAAAAACAATTATAAAAGCATGAACGGACTTTAACATATACAAAAAAACAGAAAAAACACAAAAGAAAGTTAAACAATAACCTTGACTCACCTTGACTAATTCCATAAAGGAAGCGCTACAAAAAGTTTAACAGAACGAGTTAAAAAAGTCATGTGTAATAAGTATTTTTTTAAAATTTTTTAAATGTAGGTTAGGTTAAACCACCAGATGTCTTTTTGAATAAATAATTAATTAAAACACATTTAAGACAATTATTAACTAAACAACACAAAATAGTTTTACAAGCACAAACAGTTTAAAAAATTTTAAGGAAATAATGTTAATTACTGAAAGTAAAAAGTAAAAAAGTAATAATTATCAGACTGTCAAGATATCTATCTAGATTTTTAACAAATCAATGCAGTAAACTGTAAATTTTAAATTAGCGGATAAATAGTGTACTAACGGAGGTGTTATTTACTGAAAGTGAGTATAGGTGGCGATGATAAAATTTATTGAAAGTAAAATATATTAAACTGAGAATGAGAAAACAAAAAATTTTTATACTAACATGAAAATTAGAACACTAAACAAGAAAATATGAAAATTCATATGTAAAAAGGGAAAATTTGAAGCAGATAATCAAAAAGAAAATTACTGTTACAGGAAACGGAAAATAGGTTGACAGTACGAATGTCAAAAAAGAGGAAAGTCAAATTTTGGCGTATGACAACCACGTGGGAGAATTTGAATAAGTTAAAAAATTAAAAAATTTTTAATAAGATGCGAAGATATTATTAATTCTATTTGTGTTTCTTTTTGTAAATAACTTTGTAATATTGACAAGGGGGGTAGCCATGTGTGAGTTGAGGTAATTTTAAGGTGAAGGGGGAGAAAAAGTCCTTTATATCTCACAAGGAAAGTCAATGTTTAATTATTTAACAAAACATTGAGTGCGACCGGTTTCGAAGTGTCATCACTTCATCTTCAGGCTCGCCTAGTGGAAAGGAGAATATGTGGTGTAAGGTGTGTTAACACTTAGAGCAAACGATATATAAAATAGTAAAAAAGAGAAAACTCACCATACTCTCCATCCACTAGGGAATACTACAAAACAATTTTCATCAAATGTTGGGTGAAATAAATTGTAAAATGAACAAAGTTTACAAGTAATAAAAAGTTAAAAATATTTGAAAAACAAATATTAGTCAATTGAAATAGTAAAATTTAAAATATTCAAGACTATACAAAACAAATCACATACATTAAACAGATTAAAAGATAAGGCTTATTTTAAACAACCTTGTTTTTTCAAAAAACTAACATTTTTGAAAGGAGACCTGTCAAGTTAAGGCCTCTACAGGTGGTGGCAAGTATTAACAAAAAAATTCTTGGGTAAACCCATGACAGGGTATAGGTAATAAGATGTAAACTATGAGTGAAGAAATATTTATTATTTATTATATAAGATTTGGGCCATGAACCAATCACCAAGTGTATGTGATGTTGTAGGAAGAAGAAAGAAGAAGAAATGACTGGGTTAACCGTTGTGAAGCAACTGAAGAATAAAAGAAGAAAATGACGGATGTGAAATCACACAATCTAACCTACTCTTTAAACGTGCTCGTTGGTTTCTTATGGGAAAAAATTACTTACTGAAATGTACCCCTTGCAAGAAAATATGTGAATAGAAATAAAGGGGGAGGTTAAAAAGGAAGTAAGAAAGATAAATTTAGATTAGTGTTGAGAAAACAGGAGGAGTTTCTGACATTATCTGGACACATAACTTTATCTGACCGATAGTTATTCTTTCAATAACAAAATGTACGGAAAACCGGCAATTAATGGCATAAGCAACAATATTATTTTAAAATTAGTTTACTTTTATTGTTATCGAGCTTGCAGATCATATTCTTAGTATTTATTACTAAAACACTAATGGGTTTAATACCAAAACTGACGAATTTTTAAAATCAGCAAGTTCTTGTTATGATGATGTAATTTGTATAACTGAAACATGGATTCAAGATGGACTTTCAAGTTCTGAGTTATTTTCAGCATCTTATTAAGTGTATCATGGTAATCGTAATTTAGAGAATTCGACAAAACAACGAAGAGAGGGTATGTTAATTGGTGTTAATAGTGCATTAGTAATGTGCGGTAACTGAGTGGTGTACAAAGGGTACTGTTTAGGGTCTGTGGATATCGTTGTCACCAAGGTATGGTAAGAAATTGCATATATATTGTATTTATGTTCCACCCTATGCAGTTTTAAATAATTTAATTTCAAAAGTTGCAAGATATTATTGAAAAAGACAAAATATGATTTTTATGTTATAGTTGGGGATTTCAATTTTTTTTATATTCAGTGGCAATTCCTTAAATTCCTACTCCCCTTTTGGTGCCAACGATGCTCCTAATGAATACTTTGTTGATAGTTTATCATTTTTAAAACTAAAACCTAATATTATCGCCAAATCTGGATATTACATTTAATAATAGCAATCTTCCATTTGTTCATGAGGATAATCACCATGGGTCTATAGATGTAATTGTAAATTTAAACTTTCCTAAACTAATGATCCGTAACTCATATACTTATTATAAATTCTCCGATGTTGATTAAGTTAAAATTAATGAAAAATTAAATAATTGGGAATGGAATTTGACTTTTTCTATCACAGGCGAGGATATGTGTATTTTTTGTACTAATTAATGTTAATTTTGAATTAAATTCTACTTAATGTCTGGGTACTCGAGTAGGATATGTTATAGTTTAGTTAATTTTACGTTTTACAACCCCACACAACGTTTTATTATTAGTTACTG